TTTAATTGCTCCATCATCCTGATCCACACCCACCTCCCATATTTCGTGGCCAGTTTAGTAATACCTCCAGTGCAAATTGCGCTGGCCTAGTAACGCGAAAAGCTGGGTCTCTCCCACCGAGGCACCCTCTTTCCTCCACAGGGCCGAGCGCCTCCTGCAGACAGAGACCAAAAAGAAACGGCATCCTCAGCCGTAGCAACGGTTTCTGTGTACAGCGGCGCCGGGACCCGGGGGCCCCACAGCCCCGCCGCAACGGTCTCTGATCTCTCCCCAGCGCCCTGGCTTGGGTCACCAGGGCTGAGTGCGCCGGCGGACCCGGGAACTCCAGCGTTGCCACCGCGCCCCGACACCCGACACCGTCCCCCGCGGCCTGGAAAGCCCGTGTGTTCCCAGGCCGGGAAGTACGTCCACCCCACGGCTCCCTCTCCCTCGCTGCCCACCGCCCCTTCGCCTTCCCCTACAGCCTCTCGCCCCCGCTCTGGGAGAGAAGGACTGACACGCGGCACATCCTCTGTTCCCGGCCCGCAGGTACACACAGGCACTCACCTGCTTCTCCGCGCCCCGCGTTCGGGAGGTCGCGGTCGCTGCACCAGCTCCGGCTGCGCCGCAGGTGATGAGGGAGGGGCGGGTCGCCCCGCCCCGAGCCAGAGGCCACAGGGCCTGTTGGTCGCGGCCGGGGCGGGCATTAGGCCTCTGCCACGCCCCGACCCGCTGTCGCAAAGATCTGCCCAATGGCCCCGGGTTCACCCTTCTCCGCCTTCATTGGCAGAGGATCATTTGAGCAGAAGAGTTGGTGTGAGAGGTCGCCTTCCTCTCGTTTGAGTTTCAATTTGTTGTAGAGTTAAAACGCTGGCATCGGCCAGGCACAGGGGCTCACGCCTGTAATCCCAGCACTTTGGGAAGCTCAAGCGGGAGGATGGCTTGAGGCCAGGAGTTCGAGACCAACCTGGGCAAAAAAGTGAGAGCCTGCCTCTACAAAAAAAAATAACTTAAATAAAATTTTTGTTTTTTATTTATGTATTTGGTTTTTTTTTTTGGAAGCAGAGTCTTGATCTGTCGCCCAGGCTGCAGTGCAGTGGCATGATCTTGGCTCACTGCAACCTCCACCTCCCAGGTTTAAGTGATCCTCGTGCCTCAGACTCCCGAGTAGCTGGGATTACAGCCCACCACCACACCTGGCTTTTTTGTATATTTAGTAGAGATGGATTTCACCATGTTGGCCAGGCTGGTCTTGAAATCTTGACCTCAAGTGATCTGCCCTCCTCAGCTTGCCAAAGTTCTGGGATTACAGGTGTGAGCCACCATACACACCTGGCCCATAAATAAAATATTTTTTAAAACGCTGTTATTGTTCTGTTATCCTGGACTGCTGTATTCCCTGCTAAGTAAATTAATCTCCTATTTAACTATAAAAAGTAATTAAAATTTCAGAGTTGTTGAGAAATGCTGAGTGTATGATAAAATATAGTCTGCTAAGAACGATGGCAAGGAAAACCTATCCACCCCCCACCCCCAGTGGAAAACTACCTGGGGCATTCTAAAGTGGCAAGACAGTATATGTAAACCATACACCGGTTAAAACAATTCTTTAAGCACAGGACATGTGACCTGGCCCCCGTGGCTCGCTCGTGGAGAATACTTTCTAGTTGGTCTGTGATCAGTGGTAATCAGGCACCAGCTGCCTATCTAGTTTATGTTGGTTCTATGAGAAAACACAGAACACCTGTTTGTTAATAATAATCACCTGTTCAGAGAGAATAAATAATGTGAGTCACTGTCTGCTTGAGGCCTTCAGCCCAGAATGCTGTCAGCCCTCTGAGGCTCTCAGCTCAGAAGACTGTTGGTTCCTCCAGATAATCCCACTTTGCTGTTCTATCTGGGTGTCTGCTTCTTAATTCCTTCAGCACTGCCTGGGTGGGGGTCTCTACGACCTAGTTGGTCTCGGTATAGAGTGCACTGCAACCAAGATTCACTTACCTCTTCCCCTTTAAAAAAAAAGTAAAAGACAAGATTCCCTCTTCCTTTTCAAGCATTCCTCATTTTCTGAGTGATGGTTATGAGTCAGGCACCATACGAAGCACAGGGATGAAAAGGTGAATAAGACAAAATATTAATACAGTTCAGATGAATAAAATAATAGCGGTTGTCTGGAAATTTCAGTTTTATAATTTCAAACTAGTTAAAATAGATGAACATCAAAGTTTATTTACAGTGCCTAGCAGTTCTGTAAATGTATTTCTCTTTCCTTTTTGCACTTTAATTACAGACCTGCAGTCTACCACCAAGCACTGTTAGTGGCAAAAATTCTAATGCTCAGCAGGACACAGTGGCTCATGTCTGTAATCCCAGCACTTGGGGAGGCCAAGACGGGCAGATTGCTTGAGCCCAGGAGTTCAGACCAGCCTGGGCAATATAGTGAGAGGCTGGCTCTATAAGATAAAAAATTTTTTAAATGATCACTTTAGTGATCTTCATAGAGGTAAAAGAAGATATCATCCAAGAAACAAGGAGATAAAATGAGGCCTGGTAAAGTTACTTAGCTAGATAACAAGGGGTGGTGTGTTGTTTGGACCCAAAGCCTTGCACCAAAGCCCGTATTGTTTACTGATCTCTTAATTACTAACCAATCCATCAGTAAGTCCCATTGGCTCAATCTCAAAATGTAACTCACAGCCAGATACTTATCACCTCCACAACTACGGCCCTGGCCCAGCCACCATTACCTCTACTTATTACAGATGGTCTCGTTTCCTTGCTGCCGCCTGTCCTATATAGTCCATTCTCATACAACAGCCTAGTAATTCTTCATGCCACTCTCCTGCTTACCGTCCCAATGGCTTCCCATCACAATACCCTAAGTGAGCTGACCTCTTCTGTCCACCTCTGCAACCTCATCTTCTCCCGCTATCCCTCCTGTCATGAAGTTTGAGTCACATGGGCTTGATTCTGAAGTGGGAACAGGATTAATCTCACTTTTCACCCCAGAGCTTTTACATGGAGTGTTTTCCCTATTTCAGTGTTGTTCTTTCTCATCCTTCTGTCCTCTCTGCTCAAATAACCACTCCACTTAAACTTCTAACACAGAACTCATTCTAAGGAAGGATGAGGACATGGGTGTATTACGTATGATGAGGCAACTTGTCACCCAGTCTGGAGTACAGTGGTGCAATCTTGGGTCACCACAACCTCCACTTCCTGGGTTTGAGCAATTCTTATGCCTCAGGCTCCCAATTAGCTGGGATTATAGGCACACACCACCATACCCAACTAATTTGTTGTATTTTTAGTAGAGACGGAGTTTCACCATGTTGGCGAGGCTGGTCTTGAACTCCTGAGCTCAAGCAATCCTCCTGCCTTGGCCTCCCTAAGTGCTGGGATTACAGGTGTGAACCACCGTGCCCAGCTTTCATTTTTTAATTTTTCATAAGTCCAATCTCTTACAATAGCTATCTTAAAGCACTGTTACCTCCATATGCCCATTGATCACTTGTAATCATAATTCCTCCACTTTGATAATGAAACTGAAAGGAAATCAAGTGAATTGGCCAGTCATTGAGTAGCAAGACTGGATTTGAAATCTCCATTTAGTGCTTTTCAGTGTGTCCACAGTCAGTAAGCCACTGATAGCGTGCCAAATTATGTGCTAACATCAAGCTCAAGCTTACTAATTTTCATATTTTAGAGCACTATTCAAAAGAATGTTTTTAAGGCAATTTTATGTCAGTTTTTTTCTTGAAACTGTCTAGGTAGGTAAGAGGTAAAATTACTTCTAGTTTCTAGATGAAGGGAGCACAACAAGGTAAGTGGCTGACTGGGAGCAGACTGAGTTCCAGCTGTCATACTTTTTGCATCAAGTTCTTCTGCCCAGTTAGCCAGGTAACAATATTCAATTAAACTACTGATATGCTAAGGATTTAGAAGAATTAAGTGTAACTTTACATAAGTTGGGGTTTATCTGTTTAGGGAACTGTCATAAAGACACACCATGTATTGGGATTCCCGCATCTATAAAGTTCAAGAAGGAATATACCAGAATTATAAAATTAAGAAAGCTCCATTTTATTGCCAGCCTGGGTAATGTAGTGAGACCTCAGTTCTACTAAAAATTAAAAGAATCAGCCAGCACGGTGGTGTGTGCTTGCAGTCCCAGCTATTCAGGTGAGAGGATTGTTGAGTCTGCGAGATGGAGGCTGTAGTAAGCTATGATCATGCCACTGCACTGCACAACTCCCTCCTCCTACAACAGAGAGAGACCCTGTCTTAAAAAAATAATCTCGGCATGGCAGTATCTCATATAGCATGTAATAAATTTATAGAATATATGAAGATGGTAGTCAAAATACAGGTGTTTACAAAATGATGGACAATATTTTGAATGTAAAAGACAGACATAGCTATTAATAAAGTTGGAATATATCAAATCTTTAAATTGCATGTCAGGATGGTCAACATGACATTCCAGAACCATGGAATACCTGAACAGAATATCGTATAGTGACCATTAATTCAACATCCGTAAGATCAAGGCTAAAGATTTAAACATTAATCCAGTAATTCAGCGTAAGCCAATGCTCCCCTTCCCAACCCTTGACTCAGGATGTCGCCCAGTCCATCAGGCTGGAGTGCAGTGGCACGATTATGGCTCACTGCAGCCTCAAACTCTGGGGCTCAAGTGATCCTTCCACTTTAGCCTCCTGAGTCACTGCCTGCTTTTTTTGCATCCTAAAGCAGAACTGCTGACTTCAATGAGTGATTAAACCTATGAAACTGCACTTGGCTTAACAGCCTGCTTCTTTGCTTGGGGTTGATTTTGCCTTACAGAAGGCAACAATTAAAGTTTCCCTTCATTATTCTGAGATTCAAGAATCAAGCATTATATGAAAATACAAAAAGGCCTATACCAAGTAATAAATGAAAAACTGAACTCAAGATGATGTATGGCATATTGACACCAAGCACAATGGTATACTCCGTATCAAATGACACGGCGACACAGAACAGTGGTTTCCAATAAATTTATTTAATCACAACTTCAGAGGGTTCTAGAAACTTGCATTTTTAACAAGCACCGCAGATGATTCTAGGTTTTGATTAGAAGTGTGGTTTGGGTAAGCAACTTTACCCTTAATTGTGTGTCAGATTACATACAGAGTAAAACAAAAAGTCATGTAACGGAACAAAAAATAGCTTTATACAAAATATTAGTAGATAAATACAATATGGTCTTAAAAATAAAATCATATGTATATAGTTGTATTCCTAAGTACAGCAGTGCCTCACTCATTCCAAGTTTCCTTTCTGTGGTTTCAGTTATCTGTAGTCAACGACATCCAAAAACAGGTTAGTACTGTACACTGTATAAGAAGATATTTTGAGAGCAAGAAAGACCAACCACATTCATATAACTTTATTACAGTATGTTATCATTGTTCTATTAATCTCTTGCTATGCTTAATTTATACATTACACTTTATCATCGGTATGTATATATAGAAAAAAGGTGTATAAAGATTTGGTACTATCTGAGGTTTCAGGAGTCCACTGGGGGCCTTGGGATGCATCCCCTGAAGATAAGGGGAAACTACTGTATGCAAAATCGAAAGCTATACAACAATTAGAAACATTGAGAGAGCAAATTAAATGAAGACATTCCTCTAAATTCCCAGGTTTCATCGAGCATCAAAAACGACCAATCTTTTAGTCCTTTTCTTGTACATTATTCTGTATCCACATTCTCTGCATCTGATTGGATCCCTAGATTTTATTTCATTTTCTGTGTGACATTCTCCACAGATATATATCATTGGTTGCTGCTTTGGAGGTTGAACGTCCTTCTGAGTGTCCATTGTTATCCCGCAACACAGGAAAACTCCGCGTTTCCAAATACAACCCGGCTCGTCTCGGTGTCGAGACCAACTTCCGGCCGCAATTACATCTTTTTAGCTTGAGGAAAACTTAGTAAGCTCAAGTAAAGCTGGAAAAAGTTTAGTAGTTCAGTCTGGAAGAAGAGAACATTAATTAATCATAAATCTCAGTTCGTATTAGAAGACGACAGATAAGTGGATAGCTTGGAAACTAGTGCTGGTTTCTTCTAATAAAAACAAAGAAAATGATGAGTAATACACAAAACAAACAACATTCCCTTGTCTACAAAAAAGCAAAACATGAAATCATTGCTACTTCATGAGTCTTTTGGTTCTCAGGATAAAGACTTTCAAATAAAAGAAACCAACAGAGAAACTTCCAAATATTAATTGTCTATTGTTATCCAGGCAATGTAATAGATAGTGGCATAATGCTCTCAGCACATCTATGAGATAGATATGCTTGATTCTTTGTAAAATAAGAAAAGTGAAACTCAGGAAGGTTATTTGTTTGAGACCCACCAGTTAGTACAGTGTGGAACTGGGCTGCGGATGCAAAGCCTTTTACTTTGAATCAGAGTTCCTTCCCCACGCCACAACTAACCACGTGGGGATTTGCATTGAGGAAACCAGATGCAGGTGCCTGAATGACAGAAGGAGAAAGTCATCCATGAGCAACAGCAACTTTAGCTTCAGTAACTCTTTTTGTTAAATCTTAGTCTCTGAAAAGAGAAAAAAAGGAAACTTGACCAATTTCAAGTGAAGGCAGAGTAGAGAAAATTAAGCACAGAAAAATCAGTCAGTGGCAATAAACAAGATGACAGAAACAAATACCCTATTAGTAATGATAATAAATGTGAATAAACTTACCTTACTAGTTAAAAGCCAATGATTGTCAGAATGGATAAAAAAATATCTAGCCATATGCTATTTACAAGAAATTGCTAAGGAGTAAAGATTATTAATACATAATTTTAAATGCAACCATTTAACAAAAAGATGTAACAATTTTATACGCACATAAATTGAAACATATACTATTAACATAAGTTGAAACATATATTAACAAAAGTTGAAAAAATTAAAATGAACTCACAATCCCAAGCTTTAAAACCTGTCTCTTAGCTACTGATTAGATTTAAAAATCCCTCAAGTTTGGTCTAATGCACATATGCAGAGCACTGTACTTGTCAGAGAAAATATATACACTTTTTTCAAGAATTCATAGAATGTATATGTGTGTATAGATATATATATATAATTGACAAAATACTACGTCATAAAGTAATTTTTAGCAAATAACACCACTGACAACCCCCATATAGACCATATTCTCTGACTACAACATAAACAAGCTAAAATCAATGACCAAAGTGTAAATAAAAAAAACCCACGTTTAGAAATGTAAAGGTATATATCTAAATAATCTTTGAGTCAAATAATAAAATAAGAGGGCACTTAAAATATATTTGAACTGAACGATAATAAAAATTCTACCAAAGTCGCCTTGGATACTACAGCTGACGGGATATACTTGAAGGAAATTTATGGCCATAATTTATTATATTAAAAAATAAAATAGGAAAAATTAACAAGCTAAAAATTCACTTTAAGAAGGTAGAAAAAGAATAAAGTAAAACTTCCCAACATAGAGGAAATCAAATAATAAAAATCAGAGATTAATGAGGTAAAACACCCAAGAAAGGAAATAAAAAAGATCACAAAATGAAAATTCAGTCAAAAAAATGGAAAAGAATCAAATTACGGATAAATCTTTGGTAAAAGTAATCCAATAAAGGGAGGAGACACATGGCCAAAAAGCTTATGAAAAGAGGCTCAACAGCACTAAGTATTAATGAAACGCAAATTGAAACCACAATGATGTATCCCTCCACACCCCTTAAGAAGGTTATTACAATAAAACAAAGAAAGGTGAGGATGTGGGGAAATCAGACCCCCTGTGCACTGTTGGTGGAGATGCAAAGTGGTACAGCCCCTGTAGAAAACCGTTTGGGGGTTCTTCAACAAATCACAAATAGAATCGCCATAAGACCCAGCAATTCCACTTCTGGGTATATATCCAAAAGAACTGAAAGCAGGATTTCCTCCTCCCCCTCCTCCTCCCCTCCTCCTCCCCTCCTCCTCCTTCTTCTTCTCCTCTNAAAAAAAAGAGTGAGAAGGCAGGTAGGGGTTGCTGGGAATGTGTTGGCACAGCTGAGGTCCTTCAGACAGCCACAGAGTTACTGTCCTACGCTTAACCCTCCATTGTCCCCCATGGAAAAATTTCATGCACCAGATGAATAATGAGCCTGAGATGTAAATTATAAGAAGCACACTGCATAGCTGCCCCTAATAAATTGTATGGATTCAGGAGAAATCGATTTATTTATTAAGGCATCTTATTTCTTATAGAATATATAAATTAACTCCCAGATTAGAAGCAAATCTATACATTAAAAATTATTTAAAGCAATCATGATTCTGCTGCATTTAGTAGCATCAGTAAAAGAAAAAAATTAAATGTAAACTGTATTTTCTAAACAGATATAAAATTCCTGTAAAATTTGGATAGTAACATTCACCCTGGAGAGCTTTCAGAAATAAGCTGAATAATCATTTGTTTTTTGTCATATAAATGAAGTGACACTAAACTGCTCTTATCTTTTCACCAAATATCTCTCCTATTTACCAGTAAAAATACCTGGAATCCTACCACTAACAATTTAATCTTTTGGGATGACTCTCCAGGAATCCTTGTTTTGTTTTGAGTTTTTTTTAGAGATAAAGTCTTGCTCTATTGCCCAGGCTGGAGTGCAGTGATGCGATCATAGCTCATTGTAACCTCAAACTCCAGGGCTCAAGTGAAAACCTGGAATTTTATTTACTTACTTACTTACTTATTTGAGATGCAGTCTCGCTCTGTCTCGGCTCACCGCAACCTCTGTCTCCCGGGTTCAAGAGATTCTCCTGCCTCAGCCTCCCGAGTAGCTGGGACCACAGGCGCGTGCCACCAAGCCCAGCTAAGTTTTGTATTTTTAGTAGAGACGGGGTTTCACCATGTTGGCCAGGATGGTCTAGGTCTCTTGACCTCGTGATCCGCCAGCCTCGGCCTCCCAAGGTGCTGGTACGGGCGTGAGACACCGCGCCTGGCCCGAAATCCAGTTTTTTGAAAGCAAAACCAGAAGAGGTTGATAAATTACTAGCATTTACAGGCCTGAATTCATCTTGCAGTATACTAATTTGACCAGTAGATGGCGGACTTGTCGTTTTGATAACTTTGGTGTTAAGTTGTCCTTCAGAAATCAATGTACCTTTTAAGGTACAGAACATTTCCTTATCAAAAAGACCCAACTAACTAGTTCTTGTGGAGAACTAACTAGTTCTTAATAATAGCATATTATGTAAACAAATAGAAAACTTTATGAAAGCTTATCCAATAGATTCAAGCCAAGGCATTTCTGTGTAGTGCTTCCTAAGGCTTACTTAGCTCTTAATTTCTAATCCTATCCATGAATTACTTGGATGATCTATTATGCATTTCACAGAATCTGGGACTCTGATTCCAAAATCGCACTGTGTCTCACCAGTCTGCCCAGAAGCTAAGATCTTCGGACTTATCAGTGTGGGGCTTGCAATTAGCTAATTGGTACTTAAGTATTTGAATTAAATTGTTCTCACTTTGTTTAATGAGCCTGTCTTTTCCATTTTTCTCTGCTTCCTTTCAGCAACCAAGTTGAACTGAAAAATAAGTCAGCTTAAAATGGACCTGCCCCTTGATTCTTTGTTGGCCTGACTGTTCAGTTCATCAGGATAATTTCTAAGCAATTACATCTTTTTTTTTTTTTTTTTTTTTTTTTTTTTTTTTTTTTTTTTTTTTTTTTTTTTTTTTTTTTTTTTTTTTTTT